CCCCCCCCCTATCACTACCACCAAACATCAATTCGCCCAAGAATGCAATTTCCCACAGATTGCTATCTTCGTCTGCACAGTCTGTAGTACAGTGTAGTTAATTCTGAACCTCTGTGTCTTCGTCACAGACCTACATGCATGAACATTAGCCCGACTTTCTACTGCATACAATTTGAAATATCGAATGCTGAGCAAATTTGAGATCAGGATCGATAAGAGAAACCAAGGATGTTACCAGAATAAACAGGCAAACAACTCTGTAGAGCCCTTTAAAGACAAAAAAATTTCCAGTCCAAGCTGGAACGTGTGGATAGCCAAACAAGTCCGAAAGAGCTCTTGTTACGTGGCAGAAACATTCTTAAAGTTCCATTTGTGACAACAAACAACAAACAGACATTGTAAATCGTACGTGAGCAAAATCATTTTTCGAGCTGATTCTCCTGAATCGCTGTATAGAATACGACTGCCGAATTCTATCCTTGGGGGAGGCTGTATATGACAGAATCATGCGAAGGAAATAATTCACACGAACTAAATATGAAGGACTACATACAGTATACAGCTGTAACTTGGACATCGACTCGAAGAATATAGATTCTTTTTGCAAAATACTGACCTTTCCTTTAAACACACTCATTGGTACGATATTTCCCTTTAAATCTTCCACATTTAAAGAATAGAAATCCGAAGATTCGATCAAATCTGTTCCGAAGCCAAGCAGCAAAATCATGCCGAACTGCCAGACCTCCATTTTGCGGGAATTTTTAGAATTTGCTAATTCCTTTCGATCAGTGTAGGATGGAGACTAGAACCGAAAACCTGTTGCCACGACAACGTTACAACGAACATCTGTTTTAAGCTGTCAAAGAGATGGCCAATCAGAGTAGGAATATTTTTAATCATCCAATCAGAACTAAATTTTTCAAACTGAGCGCGTCATTTCAAATTTACGAATTTGCATGTTTTGTCAAGAAACGCTAATTTCTCACGAACTCTTTTTGATGTTAATAGCCAAATTTATTCCACGATCTGCAAAGAATCATGTCGCATTTTAGCTTTCAAACTGAAGTGAATGATCTCCTGAGACTCGACGCTCCTATCAGCAAAGGGCCGGCTCCGCGATGGCAGAGAAAGTCAACAGAACGTCGCGGTTCCAGCGCCACTTCCTCCACACCGCTTCGTAACTCTGCTAGGTTAAACTTGACTAAGACTCCATCGAAAACACCAAAATCTCTCAAGAAAACGCCCAAGACACCTTCAGAGGACAGATTTATTCCAAATCGAAGCGCGATGAATTTCGAAGCAAGTTATCACAAGATGATATCAGCTGATAACGAGAACGAAGAAAACGAATTTATCAGTCCTTCGAAAGCCGAGTTTAAAAAAAACATGGCTGAAAACCTTGGTATCAACGAAGCTAATGCTAAAATTCTTGCTTTCAAGAGTAAGGCACCAACGCCGAGAGAAGGTAAATAATATAATACTTGCAAAGTGGTGTTCAATGAAAGTAAACCCGCGATCAGATGTTTGATCACATCGCTCTCCAATTTCACATACAAATTGACATGTCGATATGTTTTCCTTTCTATTGATATGGAGAAAGATTTATCGATCGAATAAATGTGGATGTATTGCTTCTTGCATTGATCTTCTCCACCGATCTTTGTTTTTTTTTTTTCAGGGCACTTAAATGATCTACGCGTGTTTTACAGTCAGAACAAAACTCCATCCACTTCTTCGAAGAAGAACACGAGGCATATTTCTCAAGTTCCTGAGAGAATACTAGACGCACCCGATCTGATCGACGATTACTGTGAGTTACTGAAGAAATAAGTTATCAGATTGTAATCGATGAAACGTAGTTTACTTCGGTTTTATTTTATTCTTGACTCTCGCACGCTGTTTACTAAAAAGTATGTTCACTGTAGACAAATTTGAAGGTCAAGTTCAAGTTCATCATTGCTCTTTCTTCAATGTCAGGGTCACACGTGGACCAAAGCCACTGAAGTTCTCCGCTCCTGTTAAATAAAACAGCCTGACATAGCGACAACCCTGTATACCTTCAAACCCCCTATTTCTTCTAAACCCGAGTTTAAATTTTTTTGCAAATTGATGCTCAAATATCTCATAGATGTGGGATTGCACCAACACCAGTGTACACTTGTTAAACTTACTGTAAGGACCTCTCAGTATTAAATTTTCAAACTTCCAAGTACACTACAATAACACATATTGAAAATTCTCTTGTCTAACTATGCTTAATACATATGTTGAAATAGCCTTATCTTATGCACACACTTTACACTAAAAAAAACTATCTTATAAAAAAGGATTAATTGATGTGTTACATTAATATTCCAGAAGACACAATATCGTTCTAAAAGTCACTTACTTTTACCTGTTCATGTCTACACGAATTAATTTTTTTTTTAAATTCTATACCTCACTTTCCAAGGGTTCTAAAATTTTGCACTGTACCTTTGTCCTTTGGAACTGAGATAAACTTATTGACTAGAGGTTCTTTTTCAATTATATAATCTGAAAGAACTGTTAAGGTCTCACAAACTTTTTTGATGCAGAATGAACCTTACTCCCTCAAGGAAAAGATGCTGGCAGCCCTTTGCAATCAAATATAATGGCTGTGGTAGTAATCATTTTAACATTTCTTAACACAAGACCTTTACTTCTAGAAGCATGTTCAACTTTGAATCGCACTGGGAATCAAATTTTTTTTTCAACTCCAGAAGGATACATGTTTTGTCATCATCATTGGCTTGCTCCAACTTATCAGCTTCTTTGCCAAATAAAGACTACAAGGAAACAAAATGTGAAATCCAGAGGAAATTAGTTAAATTAGACTCTAAACAATAAAACACCACAAAAAATAAATAAACAAACAATGTCTCAATGTTAAAAATTCTAAAACAGGATCCTGTTTGATATTTAATATCACAACCCTTTCACTCTTATGAATGACCAAAGCAGAATTTCTCCTCACGATAACAATACAATATATCAAGCAGACAAGTGGTGTGAATTAAGAAAAAACAAAAAAAAAAAAAACAAATAGGGGATTATTAGTTGATCCAATACAGTCCAGCCTTGATTATCCAGATTTCTCAATTATCTGGACCTTTTTTTCTGGTCCCAAACTTTTCATGAACATTAATTAGTCATGATCAATATCTGTAACCAAACTCCTTTTAAAACTACAGCATTGAAAAGTGAGGTAAAGGCGATGTTCTTCTTTCAGACAAACAAACTGACTTACTTCAACATTTTCGGCCTTTGTAAAAACATTTTTCATCAATTTTAAGTGTTATTCCCTTTGGACAGTAAAGATGTAGACCATCTCTTTTTCAAAACAATTTGTAAATTAATGTTTTGTTTCAGGATAAAATGTCCCTTTCTGTTCCTCTTTAATTAGTCATGATCAATATCATTCTGTAACCATACTCTTTTTAAAACTACAGCATTGAAAAGTGAAGTAAAGGCAACGTTCTTCTTTCAGACAAACAAACTTACTTACAGTACTTCAACATTTTCGGCCTATGTAAAAACCTTTTTCATTAGTTTTAAGTGTTATTCCTGTTGGACAGTTACTCTTAAATATTCATATTCTGGATTATCCAGACCCTCACTTATCAGGACTATTTCATCTAGTCCCAATGAGTCTGGAAAATGGAGGTTTGACTATAATTATTAAATTCTCAGAACTGAAACCATGCATTATCAATTCAGTTGATAAAAGCAAATTATCTCGTAGATAGATATATACTACATAGATGGATGGATGGATGGAACCCTTTCTTTATATATGGCATTTTATCAAATTAAAATATAATTATAGTGATAATAAAATTTGGTTTACATAAAATCCGTACGCAACACAAGTTATATATTTACTATTAGAAAGCTTAATGTTCTAGAACTAGTTTTGCTGGTGCTCATAGTAGTAGTCCAGCTTACCCATAAACATTTTTAGCCAAGTTTCTTCCTTTAAACTGTTTGGTAAATCATTCCAGATTCTTGCTCCGGTAAAAGCAAAATTGTTTCTGTAATAATCTGTGTGATGTTTAGGGAGCGCAAGATTCATTCTGGAAGATCACAGTCCATAATCATGAAAAGAGGCACTATGGGCAAACATTTCAGACAGGTACTGGGGAGTGAGACCATTCAGATAGATAGATGGATAGATATATACTTTAGATAGATAGATAGATACAGTTTATTTAGAGAGGGTGGTACGGAATAGTTGAAGTAAATAATAAACTTGCGGCCCTGTATTTAAAAAATTCTAACAAGCAATGTATATTGAATTCTAACAGAACTATCAATAAAACTAGGAATACCTATCTAATAACAAGACGAATTACGAGTAAAAATAAAATGTAACGTGAGAAAAAATGAGGAATCATGTTAGACTATAAAATGATGTAGTGGTCTGATCCCTTTTTTTCTGCAACACTCAATCCCTGGATTGAAAGGCTAGCCCCTTCACACCTCAGATTAAAATTTTGCTTTATACAGTAG